AATGGTCTGTGCAGGTGTTAATCAAGTTAAATCCCAACAGCCAATCAGCAAGAAGAAGAGAGGAAAGCTGCATGCCTATTGGTTGATGCCCTGCATTCCATTGTGATGACTCATGCCAAATGTGGTTAACACTGCCCACTGACACAGTAATACATTTGCTATAATACAGCCAAAAAACTCAAATAAAACCATTCTAAAAGCCTGTATCACAAAAATTTAAAAAACGCCTAAGGGAATTTGCCCACTGTACCTCCATACCAAATTTCAGATCCTTAGGCCCCAAAATGAAGAAGCTGAATCCATTTAAAAAAAATGGCAGGAGGAGAAGGAGGAGAAGAAGAAACATCAGAGAAAACAATATGGTTTCACCAGACCACTTCGTGGTCTGGTGAAGCCATAATTAGGAAACCTTAGGCCTCCACGAAATATTCAGATCTTGGATGATGGTGACTGTGCCCTCTTCTCATTCACCGAGGTGTATAAAAGTCTCTCTTTATAGTGCAAGGGAAACAACACCAACTGTCAGCTGTCAAGGAGGTTATGTAATGAAGAACACCTGTGAAAACAGTGAGTGCTACCAGATGTAGATTAATGATTTTCTCCCTCTTGGACAGACTGAACCCAACCATATACATTACAACCTGGCCTAAGGGTCATGCGGAAACACAGACACACACACGAACACACACACACACAGACACAGACACACACACACACACACACACACACACACACACACACACACACACACACACACACACACACGTATCAAAAGAAATACCTCCATTTTTCATGGAGGTAATAATGAAAATATACAGCTCAAACAGACCGACTGGGCTTACCTGCTGCAGAACTACCACCCTGTTGCGCCTGCGCGGAGTATGTTTCCGTGTCAGCTGGACCAATGTTCCATGGCGGGAACGTGAAGACCTAGGTCGCAGAGATGTCAACGTTCAGTGAAATATGGTGTTGTCACAATACAAATATGATATCATTATAACATTGAAATGAATACATCGCAGCATCACTATGTTGTTCTATAGTTATATAGAACTTACTATCATCAGTTTCAAGTGCCGCAACACTTAATTATGTTTCACTCCATACCGTGGTATGGATGGAATATATTGTTTTCCCATGTTTTTTTTTATTTGTTTTTGGCTCTAGAGCGCTAGTATCAAACACCAAATCAAATCTGGCAGGTGTGCACATTAAATATATGCCCACGGACATCAACTTACAGTCTTACCACACACCCCTTTAAAAATTGTGTAATTTAGGATTTTTACTAAACAGTTACCCACTTCATCCACGTCCCTCGGTGCCACGCCAGGACAGGTGGCGTTGTTGGTCGGGCCTGAGATGGTGACAACATTCTTCAGCGGGTCCTCTTCTGGGTTGAACAGAATCTCCAGCGGGGGCAAACCGTTGATTTTAACTCCTGTAGGTTAGAAATGGTTTGCAAACGCCACAGAAAATACCTTCGTTGCACATATCATAAAGCATGCTTTAAGTTTCCGTTTCTCCTTACGTGTGTACCTAAACGTTGGCTAAAAGGAATACGTAAAGATTGAATTTCGTGCAAGTTTTAACTTCGTATTGGCACATTTGTCTAAGCATGATCGACATGAATGCTTATATAAGTTTGATGAGTACTTTTTTTCTGATAATAAAACTTAAAAGAGTCGAACAACTAGCGCATTTCTGCAGTTTGTCCATTATTAGCATTGCCAATCAGGCACTTTTGTTCACGTGAAATAGGTGGGTGGGTATAAACAAAAGGAAAACATACCTGCCATGCATCCAGTAAAGTTTGTAAAGCCGTCCACATGTACGTGTGGATCAGTTCTGACAAACCCACCAAGCTGGGCCACGTCAAATTCATTGAACATCACGTGAACCGGTACAGATGACGTCATCTCGTCATGATCGTCCACCTTTGGAAATAACAATGTCCCAGAACACCCTCATAAACATCGCATGTAAAAGATCGTCTAAAGTTAAAAGTGTGTTCCAAAGCAAGGATTGTTCTCACCTAGAGCTTTCGACAAGTCATTCTGGTCTTCTTCAATAGGCTGACCCAGTAAGACTTGTCACGTGACAAGCCTCATTTGGTCAGTCTACTGAAGAAGACCAGAGGGACTGGTCGACAGCCCTAGGTGAGAACAATCTCTTGTGTTTGAATAAAGGTTTTAGCTTTAGACATGAAACTGCCAACACAGATGAACTTTCGTGACATATAGTCATGTAAGAACTGATGAACTCATTTTGTTAACGAAATATTTGAGTTACCTTGATTAAAACTGAGTCCCTCGTGCCCCGGAACCGGATGTAATGTCTGACTCCATCCGTCAAACTCCCATTGGTGTTGATCGTATCTGTCATGTGAGGAAGACTGAATGAAGACCATCAACTAGTACCAAACTACACGACTTAACTCTACCTTAGAATCATCATAATCGACCTTGGTACGTCTACGCCTATTTATGTTTACCTTGCTCAGTTTCTTCTTCTATTTCTCAAAATAAATAAGGTCAATGACCTGAACCAGACGTCTGTCACCATGGTACGTAAGTAGTGTTGGATGCATCATGTTGCAACTTTATAGCAGAGGGATTTAGACTCTTGTCACCATATATATTAATGTGTTTGGGTAACAAAGCAGTCCATATGCGAATGTAAACATTATGCATTTGATTTGCAAATGTTACCTTCTAGTTTCTAAAATATATTCGTATTGGTTTGCGGTTTTGTGGTTGAGACCATGACAATTTCTTCTTATAAGATGAAATTTTCTAAGTATCTCCTCACTCTTTTCCGATCCATGGTCCACTAGCAGCTGCAGCTGTCCCGTCGGCAGCAGACTGATGACGACAGCATTGGACGATCTGTAGCTGGACAGATGGAACAGCACGCCAGCTTGGCGGGAAACGAAAGCGAGGCTAGCGTTGTAAGAGTTGACTGTAGGGTTGGCATGATGGTGGATGACTGTGCCTCCTGAGAACATGGCTCCAACATCTGCAGAAAAACAAGTCGTGATTTAATGCATCAGAATCTACTGCCAAAATATGAGAAGTTCTGTATCTGTATCTACATAGCCGGTATAACCGCCCTTCGGCGTAACACACCAGATTCGCAGACACCCGGCACGGCGGCAGCTGGCTACATTACACCGAATGACTTGTTACACGTAACTCTTGAACATCTAACTCTAAACATTGTTTAAAGCTATCTAATGATAATGCCCTACTGTACTTGGTGACAGTGAGTTCCACTCTGCGATAGTTCTAGGAAGAATGAATTTTTGAACACCTCAATCCTTGGTTGATAACTCTGGTACTTAAAGCCATGACTATTCCTTGTACTTTTCTGAACTGATATTGGGTACTTATTGTCCTATAGTCGACAACCTATTTCGGTTTGGCAAAACATTCCTAATGCAGCCAGCAGTACAGTTATGTTTCAAAAGTTAAGCTTTTCATTGAATCCAGGTATCGCACTTGGACTCACCTTTGGTACAGTTTGGACCCGTGTAAGAGGTGTCTTCACAGTTGCATTTGAATCCCGTCCACTGTTCCTCACAGAGGCCGCCATGTTTACATGGGCCAGCGTCACACGTACCTACACACCCACTATTAACGCCTGGAAATTAAAATAAACAACGTTATACTGTATTTCAAACAGTGTAGTGTTCTAGTACATTTTGAAGGGATCATCAATATCACACACAACGTCGACGTACTTTTAACGACGGGGGGCGCCACAGACTTCCTGTAACCAAGGAGCTTAAAATCTACATCCTTGCTGGAACATATGATCCACTACTAACCAAGTCACATGTGTCATTTGCATAACGTGACGTCACAGAAGCGGTGGATTGTCCATTCCTTGACAAAGACTGGAGTTGTACAATCTAAAATTTGGGTCAAAATTTCTAGTGCTGGAAATTACTGTTTAAACTTGCATCATGATGACTTCTTACCATTGCACAGATGAACTTTCAAGACATCAACATTTAGCGTGTTGTTCGTTTGATGGACCGGTACGTACCATCTGTTTTCTCGGCTAATCTCGCGAGACTTTTGACGTCATTACGACCGAATTTCAGACCCCGCATGCAGCCCAGCAGCCCTCGGCGTGACGCAGACATCGACGCCGGCACGCCTCCTACGTACACCCTTGTCTGCTGGGCAGGTGGCGCCGACGGACGTTCGGGTCTAATGCTTTCTGTAAATCAAAAGGATCATAATGTAAGGCGTGTGAAAAATCACCACTTTGATGTGTAATGCAAGAGGCCGACGTTTACTGGAGATTTTGTGGCAAGTATGTCAATCCTACTATCCAAGCAGATTCTGTGGGGCAAGGGCAGTCTATAATTTGGCTGCCTGTATCCATTGGCCACATGGTCTCCTGTAACCGCTGGCCGCCCCACGTTGCCCACAGAATCTGCTTGGAGATTAACTGTGAAATAATACAAAGAGACCGCTCCATCCGTGTGTACCGGCCATGCCTGTGTCCACTGTATGTTCTTCTTAGTCCACAAAGAACCCGAAAACTAACTAGGCTACAATAACACGTACAGATAAGACGATAGCGAATTCAATCTATCAAACTCAAGTAGAAACACTCTTATCCGTTTGATGAAAAAGTAGTCTGTCTTGAAAACTCTTTACTGCACAAAATCCGTTCTTAAAGCAAGCCTGACTAAATCGCGATCCTGGGGGCTGCCCACAGGCTAGCCTTAAAGCATGCATAAATGTCCAATTTCTTTACGTACGTCTGCCTATAATACGCAAGCTTTAATGTGAGCTTAAAGATAGGATTTCGTGCATTGGCACTTGTACCAATCTTTATCCTTCAGTTCCTGTCCGACAAGTAAAAAACAAAAACTCGAGATTAACTGTAAACCCTAAAGCCAAATCGCTGTGGCCTGGATGCACCACCTGCATGGCAATAAATGCTTCTTACCTCAAAAACCTAGACTTAGAAGGTATACTGTTTTTCATTGAAGAAAAATCGTATAAAAGAACATGATGCGGATGCATAAATCCTTTTATCTGCGGCCGCGTGAACCAATTTTTTGTGGCATTTGCCAGGCAATGTTGAGAGGCTACCGGTCTTTAGCGGGACCCACGCTGTGGTTGGGCCCAGGAAAAATAACGTTTTGTTTTTCGTTCTGAAAAAAAGTAGGTCAGTAGGTAGGGATTTACTCTATATTATATCTTGTCCTAGGGTTAGCCGGGTAATCGAAAACAACATTTGGCATTATTAAACTATTTATTTGGCCAATTTCTTGTCTTTTCAGCCGCTCCCCGAAGCCTGGTAGAGACTAGGCGGGACGACAGCGAAACATTTAAGCCTCTAGGTACTCACCACTGTAGCCTGGGAAAGGATCTTGGCTGTAGACTGTCAGCAGATTCACGGGTGCGAATTCGCTCTCTCTGGTCTTGTTCGCAGCAATGTTAAGGTAGTTATCTGATCTAGATATGATGACATCAACCCATTCGCCAGACGAGATGCCTAAAAAAAGTATTATCAAACAGAGGTAAAAGGCATCCAATGTAATTTTAAGGTGTCAGAACAAAAATATACTGGATGAGGAAACCTGTTTGATATTGAAGTTTAGTGACATTTCTCCGCACATTTTCGACGTCATACTTGAATCGGTTGAAATAGTCTACAAGCAAGCTAAGTGAGGCGGTTCTTTATTTTTGGGTACCACCAATAAATAGATAAAACCTGCCCACGATACAAAAAAAAAATACAAGAAAACTGATTTTGAAAATTTACCACCATCGTAAAGAAATGACTGGCTTCGTTTTGAATTTGTTTAGTGCAATGCGGAGTTATGTGGGTAGGCGGCGCTAACTGAGACTTAGATAGATCCAACGTGCACTCCGATCACCCCATGGGCCACGACCGGTACCGTTTGGCTTTCCAGAAGGGACTTCAAAAGTTTTCCAAACGTTCTAACTCTACTTAAGATACACTGCACAGAAACTTTTGATGTTTTTATATATATATATGAAGGATACAGAATGTGACATACGTGACATTCGGTACAGACAGAAAAGACACAAATTCATGCGTTTTGGTATTCTTCGCGACAGTCGGTAACAGGCAGCCCAGACAACAAACACATGGTCGGCTCTTGTTACCCACATACATCCAGGGATACGCACGGCCACCATTTGGTGACCAAAGTGATCCGTCATTTCAGATGCAGCTCCAGGGTTAGGAGTCAGCGCCATTAGAAATGAGAACCCCTACTGTGGGAAACTGAAGTTTGTGTGAAAAAAGACAGTAACGAGGTAAAGACGTGGTGAATGCAGACGTGATCGTGTCTGTTCAGGTGTTCCAGCCGCCCACGGCCCGAGTAATTACCACTTATTGCAGGCCCGGTAAAAGCTTCAATATAACGTTGCTAAGAGTCGCTATGGCCACAGCAAGTCAATTCTATGGATGGCATTCTCCGTAGACTCCAAATCTAATGCGAAAGGGCGAAAAAAAACAAGGCGGGCCAAGAAAACAAAATTCCTGCATTTTCAAACTTTGATATCATAAACCTTGTTTAACTATAAATGATAGCTAACAATTAAATTGTGTTAAATCAAAAGTTCGCTGACAACTATTACAACACTGAAGGCACTTGCCACTGAAGAATAAAAGTTTTCAATCATTGTACAAATGGTTTTGATTCAGTGGGAATATCACTAAGAATGAATAAAAATAAGCACTGCATCAAAGTAAAAGACGGAACATTGAAGCAGAGTCTTGTCTTGTCTCCTCTCTTCATATTTATCTGCCATCCATGTTCCGACATGACAACAGACATCTTTGCCCATTTTCGGCATGTTGACCACTGTCAGAGGGCAACAAAATTTCTTGCCCCCCCCCCAAATCAGGCGAATTCGAAAATCAATGCGCGCGCTGATGCCATCCATAAAATTACTTGCCGTAGCCTATAAGAGTTGCTAATGAGTCTTGACTTGCGACGTCGATACATGGCGAGAAGCGGTATCGACAAACTGACATATTATGAGACATGTATTTGCCCAGAGGCGAGGCGCTGTTTCATCTGGGGTCACCAACGAGAAATTATTCGCGCCTTCGACTGTTGTGGGGAGTTGCAAAATCGTTTCTTGTGTCGACAAGGTAGTTGACCTATCTGACTTAAGATATATACAAAAGACTGGCGTGACTTGGCATAAGTTTATACATGCAGGATGTGGGACGCTGAAAAAAAGAAAAGGAAGTCGGAAAGGTTGCTTTAGAATATAATGCAAGACTATTATAATTATCTGAGACTAACTACCATTGGAGATTGCATACAGTACCACTACCAGATACACCACACAATGATAAGGCCTAGGAAAAATGTTGTGTTTCCTGTTTCCCGACCGACCCTAGAAAAACCTGCCGATGCTAGTCTTTTTTGTGGACCCCTGCAAGGGACATTTTTCGAGCTGATCAACCTTTTCTAGCTCCATAATTAATTTGACAACTGAGTGATAAAACAGAACCCCCCCCCCCCGACCATTGCATGTTGAATGTGTACACTTACTATTAATTAAAGGCATCCAGTGCATTTTCAGGGCGGCAGAAATATTCTGGACTTGTTATCACATGTTCGCATCATTACATACTTGGAGCATTTGAAATAGCCCCAAAACAAGTTACGTAGAGCGTCTCTTCAATTTCTGGCTACCACAGATAAATAGCTGGAACCGGTGTACGATACAAAACAAGCAACCGTTTCCCGTCATTAACATCTTTGCCTCACAGATATCAGTATGCTATGGGATAGGGTTAATTCAACTTACTACATTAAAAGAATGACCAGAAAATTGACTTTGGAAATCCAGTTTTGCCAGCCTGGAATTACATTGGATGCCTCTAATGCTGGGGACACATTTCCAAACCGGGGCTTGGAACGAAAAGTATGACATAAAAGAAACAATGCACACAAAAATTGAAAAATTAATAATGGGAACTTTTTGCGTATGTTATTGATATTAATTGTTGATTGTTCGTCAATTGAACTGCCCGGCCCGGCCCAGCATAAGTTAGGATTGAGGGAAACTGTATGTTGCTCATGTAGTTACAGACGCGTGATAATTGTGTATAGTGTTGACGTACCTGCGACCTTGACTGTGAACTCTTTGATCTCATTTAGCGAGTTGAAGCTGACTGTCAGTGTGTCTCCACCTCTCACCTCCAACTGCACGAAGTTGTTGAAGTGGTCGTGTGCATACATGAGGACGGCGTCGGGCGCGAATGTTCGGAAGCCGAATCTGAGGCCCGAATACAGGACCGAGTTCTGACTTTCTTCAAAAAGGAGGAACGCATCTTCCCTCAAGAAGGTCGCCGAGTCCAAGTTGATGTCTTAAAAGTTAAAGGCAAAGAATAAGTTAGATGACGCTTTATTGTGTCTTGATGATCATGATTGGTAAGCCTAATAAGGACTGAACTAGAAAGGTAACATTTTATTTTTCAAAGCAAATGCATAATGTTTACCTTCATATGGCCTAGCAAATAACTGCTCTGTTTATTCCTACACTCAGAAATAATATATGGTGACCAGCCCCTCTCCAGCTCTGCCCTGCTACATAATGTAACCCAAAACAAGGTGTCTGCTACAGCACCTGTTACCATGGTGACAGTCGTCTGCTCAAGGTCATTGAATATAATTTGACAGTTTGAAAAAAAGAAGAAGAAACAGAGCAAAAACAATATGTTTAAACATAACTAGAAAAGTAACATTTGCAAAGCTAATGCATAATGTTTACCTTCGGACATTGTCTGCTCTGTTAATTCTTACTCAAACACATTTACATACATGTATATGGTGACAGTTCTATACTGCATTTAGTGAAGGTGCCACATATACAGCTTCAGAGTTTAAAGCCCGGTGCTCACTGCCCGACTCGCGTGAAGACTACCCCTCTATGGACGACATCACGATCAGCTCCGGTGGCATCGAGAAACTCTTGGCCAGTCTGAATCCTACCAAAGCAGCTGGCCCAGATGGCATCACTCCACGTGTACTGAAAGAACTTGCTAAAGAACTAGCCCCTATTCTCACCACAATCTACCAGTCGTCACTAAATACAGGCCAAGTACCCCAAGACTGGAAAGAGGCACTGGTAACCCCTGTGTTCAAGAAGGGAGAGCACTACAAGGCGTCCAACTATCGCCCTATCTCTCTAACCAGTGTTCCTGCCAAAATCCTCGAACACGTCTTAGTCAGTGCTATAATGAGTCACCTTGAACTGAACAACATTTTATCGACACAGCAGCACAGTTTTCGCAAGCACCGCTCCTGTGAGACTCAGCTCCTCGAGTTTACTGAAGAAGTCTCTTCAGCCATGGAGCGAGGAGTTGCAACAGATGTGATCATCATGGACTTTCAAAAAGCCTTCGACCGGGTGAATCACAGTCTTCTCGTACACAAACTAGACCACTACGGGATTAGAGGACGCACAAATAAGTGGGTAGCGAGTTTTCTCAGTGACCGCAAGCAGGCTGTAGTAGTAAATGGTGTCCAGTCAAGCTCTGTGAATGTGAGATCGGGCGTCCCACAGGGCACGGTGTTGGGACCGTGCCTTTTCATTACTTACATTAACGACCTGCCGAAGAGAATCTCCTCTACCTCCCGTCTATTTGCAGACGACACTGCCGTTTACCGTCTGCTCACCTGTTCCAAGGACTCGTTAGAGTTACAAGCAGAC